AAAATTTAGCAGTTAATTTCTTGCTTACAATGGAGGCTTAAATACCACAAAACCCATATTTTTTTAGAAGTAAAATAAATGACATTGAACATAAGGAAACACCATTCCAGCAAAACACCTGTCACGCAACACCTTATGAAGACAAAACATCATGGCGGTCCACGAATGAAAGTAGAAAAGTTTCTGTGAAAAGAAACCAGCTGACAAAAACTTATACTCTGCAGATACCAGGGATCAAGTCTAAACTAATCTTTTAATTTACAAGTGGTCTAGTGCCTAATACCATGTCACACTTTACTAGCCCAGGGGTTCAATAATTTTTGGCTCAAGAGGGTAGTTTAGAAAAACAGGTGGGTAGTTTCTTTGAAGACCTGGAGGGCCTTCCAAACTAGGGGGGTCCGGGGGCATCCTCCCCCAGGAAATTTTGAAATTCTAGACTCCTGCAGATGCATTTTCCTGCGCTTTGAGACCTATTTTTTATGTTGTTTTGCTATTCCTAGAAGTCAATCAATTAGAAAGACAAGGTTGATAACGTGTGGTATTCTAATTCTTCGTATGCAAATCGATTCAGGAACGATACATCATATTTCACCACGAAAAGAAGCATAATATTAAAGTTTAAACACCAAAACGTGTCCCTTTCAATATACTCAACTAACCTTGCAAAGAATCATTCTCCTTCGACCTCTTTTGTTTTGATGCTGGAGCGAAATATGCTTATAACGATCGCATTTTGGCAGCCATTATTATTCATGCTTAGTCCCAGTTTCCTCTTGATTTCAGCTGACGTGCCTGGCACATTTTTTTCACTTCATATTGAAGCGATTGTTCTCGCGTGTTAGGTTACACTTTTCATCTTTTAGTGTCCAAAAGGCTGGGTTAGCACTAGAAAGTTGTTTCTTGTGCCTTTCTTTTTCTTTACCTATAACATAAGACTTATTTTCCCAAATTTCTCAAAGAGACTCCTTAGCTGCGAGGAAATTATCTGGTCTTAGTTATTTGTGTATGGGTACCCAGGATGGCTACAAGCAGGTAGTCTGCTCATTACAAAAGGGTAGATCTACCCGCTACCCGGCTATTATTGAAACCCCTGCTAGCCTAGTCGAATAAATATATTTTTTTGTAGTTGGAGGCTTTCATGATGATACAAATTTTCATTGGTCTTGTTATCATCCAGATTTTTCAGTTGCCAGGATCCGTTTTCTTTTGACAGTGATGAAATCAAAACTGAAAAAAACAAAGTTGCTTCTTTATTAATAATGAACAGTG